TTCAGCTATAGACGACATGGAGGCCTACACCAAACTCACAGGTGCGTCTCGATCCTGTGTGCTTCTGGTTTTCTCTCAGCTATTTACATTCAGTAAAGACACGTCGACTTGGTTTATGTCCGTACTCCACGTGAGGGGCATTTTGACATGATTAGTGTGTATTTGACCGTTGAAAGAGAACTGAATTGGGGATGGCATGCTGTCTGTGCTTGTGAGCACCACAGTGAGGTCTTTCGCTCTGAGTAATGCACTCTTTTTAACATCATGCTTTAGTGCTCTGACATGTCAAAGTTTTAGTGCTGTGCTATGTGAATATATGCACACACCACAATATAAATGATCAAAGTCCTTTATTACAGGGTCAGAAAGCATATGGCTAAATGTTACAGGGATGAAATGAGGGTTGTGTGTCATGTTTCAGATCACATATTTGAGCTGATTCTGTACTCGTCTGCGCCGGAGCTGTCTGAGGCACGAGCCATCCTGCACAACATCGTCTGCAGACGGCTGTACAAGTGTGTGGGTCAGACCACGCCAGAGACGCACCTGGACGCCTCACAGGTGAACCACAAGCACACACAAATAAAGCTGACTTTCAGCGGATGGACATGAGTGATGAGAGGACTTTAAAAGTGTCCTTGAGTGTTTTGAAGATGAACAAAAGTCTTATGGGTTTGGAGTGAATAATGACAGAAGAGAGCTGTTCATGACCCTTTATAGGAGAAAGGTCGTAGATTCAGCTGATAAAGAAGGAGCCAAGATAATTGTAGGTGACTGAGTGGCTGATTAAATAAGTGAAGTCTCTTGCAGGAGAAGCTGCTTGACTGGGCACAGGAGGTCGCCGGTTCAAAGCCCAGCGGCACAGACGCCAACCTGACAGCAGAGGACTTTGTAGTTCGTGTACGTTTGCTGTGTTTCGTTTTAACAGCTACAACACCCCTATAATAGTCAGAGCTGCTTCTGCTTACAGACGTTAATAGCACAACCATGCAGTCAGATGACATGAAAACTGACACTTCCCATGAATTTCAACCCAACAGCTCAGATTGTGAAATCGTCCCATTTATCAATGAACGTGTGTAGTTAAAGAATCAGCCAATAGCTGTTTAAGATCAATCTTCTTATAAACTTGTAAACTGTCCTCTTTTGTTCTCTAGGTCATTCACATGGATTATGGAATGAAGGAGAAAAACCCCATCAACAATGTCCACTTCTACTGCAAGAAAGATCCCACCAAAGCCATCAAGATCCGCAAAAAACAGGTACGCTCCAGAAGATGGATCTGCCTGTGCTGCGACTATCAGCCAGCAGTTTACCAGCGTTTCAGCCTCTGACCAGACAAGATTTCAACTAGATGTGCTGATGTGTAACTAACATTAACATAATTGCTTCTGGTTAGTTAATGCATGAGTTAACATTTACTAATGAGACTTTATTGTAAAGTGTTACCTATTGCACTCTAATCTTCTTAAGTTCTTTTTGTGATAAGAAAAAAAACCCCCCCGTTATAATGCCCTTTTGCAGCTTATTTCAATATCGGGACTGTATACCGTGATAGACGCGCTTCAGCAATTATCACAACAGGAAAATTTGATTCCGTCATATGGCCCCCCCCCATACACAAACAAAGGCCTAGAATGTTGATTATGGATTAATTTCCCTATTGGAGAGAGTATGCATGTTTAGATTGTATTGCTTCTAGTGCAAAAGAAGATATGCTCCAGACAAACACAGAGCCTGTGTTCCTGATGTGCGTGTGGTGTAACAGGTGTCCAAACTGCTGCCGGAGAGCTTCGCCGAGCAGCTGATCAGGGTTTACTGTAAGAAGACGGATGACAAGAGCCTAGAAGCTGCTAAGAAGTACTTTGTCCAGTGGTGCATGGACAGGAACTTCACCAAACCCCAGGCAAGACTTGGCATCTGCAGTTTTGTAATAATTCAAATTTCAGTGTTATTTTCAAACATACTTGGTACTTTGAGTGATGGATTTGTTCGATATATTTCAGACATTATTTTTAATTTAGTAATTATATTGAAATGATCAATTGAGAATGACCACAAAGTGTACAGACCGAAATCACAAGCACAGTGCATATATTGGAAAACAAGACACATGCTGGGGTGCGTTTCCCAAAAGCAACTCAAGTTCAAGTTCATTTTATTTGTAGAGCACATATACAACAGCCACCAGGCTGACCAAAGTGCTTTTCAGAAGAGCAACAATTTTACCACATACACAGATAACAAACCAGAGAAAAAATTTAAAACCGCACGTTTTAAAAATGACCATATCACAGTAGTCAATACACTAAGGAAAACAAATAAGTTTTTAGCAAGGACTGATAGGCCGAAATTTTTTTAGGACAGAAGGATCCAGTGAAGGTTTCTTGAGCAGAGGAGTGACCGTAGCGACTTTAAGGTTGGCCGGAACAGAGCCAGTTTGGAGACACTTATTAATAAGAGACACCAAACCTGGCCCAATCGAATCGATAATTAATTTAAAAAATCTCGGGTGAATGATATCGCTAGAACAGAATGAAGGTTTAAGCTTGTCAATCACTTGCTTCAATTCCTGGAGGTTGATAGGTTCAAAAACATCCAAAAATGCAGAGGCAGATGACATAATTGGAGAGACAGTTAAAGTTAAAGTGGGGCAGACGCTAAGCCTTAAGTTAATAATTTTGTCACTGATGCTCTCTGTGAAAGCTTCTTGAGATATTTTAGAGGCAACAGGCAAGGTGTTAACTGAAGGATTTGTGACAGATTGAATAATTGAAAACAAAACCTTAGGTTTAGAATGATTAGTTTCAATTAGATTAGAACAGTATGCAGCTTTCGCAGACTTAGCTGCAGTCTGGTAAGATGTAAGAGTCTCTGAACATTTGAAGAGAGATATGCAGCCTGTCCTTTTTCCATTTACGTTCTGCCTTTCTGCAGTTTTGTCTTAGGAGACGGGTATCAGAGTTTTGCCACAGTGCAGATTTTGGTTTTTGCTTGTGATATAGGCTTATGGTCAGAGATCATAAAATCTGAGAGCACAATATCAGTCACATCAAGCCCATATGAGAGTACTCATATTCAGGGACATACGTTGGATCTTGTAGAGACATTGATCCACTGGGATAGATTAAAAGCGTCGATGAGATTAAGAAAGTCATGTGATAAGGGGTTAGACGGACAGCAGACATGGATGTTAAAATCGCCCACCAATAGAAAGCGATCGTAATTTGTGGCAATATTGCCGATCAGTTCAGTGAAATGCAGTATAAAATCCTTAGTAGAGTGCGGAGGACGGTAAAACACCCTTAGACATACAGGACCATTCCAGTCTAAGTGAATAAACTGAGCTTCAAAGCTGGAAAAGGCCATTACAGGGACCAATCGACAGCGTGCAGAGAGAGAGTTCTTTAAAATTGTTACTATCCCACCCCCGCGTCCACTCGGACGAGGAGAGTTAAAAAATGTACAGTCAGCAGGGATCAGATCAGAAAAAGGAGTTAGATCACCAACCTTTATCCAGGATTCCGTGATAAACATACAATCCAAGTTGTGAGATGAGTAAAAATCATTTAATAAGAAGATCTTATTCACCAAGGAACGGGCATTTAATAATGCCATCTTCGGTGAAGAAATAATATCAGGAGATGAGGACGCTCTTTTCAGCGAGCGCAGATTTCCGTGAGTTACTCCCCGTCGTCGTGTCTTGCCCTCAATATATCTGTTTGCCATCGTCTGACCCTCGCCTGTGCTGACCACATACTTAAATAAAGCTTGCGAATGGATCCGCATGTCTCACGTCTTGTTTGCCCATAACAGAATACTCGGCCACACAAGGATCCAGCGGCTTCTCGGATGGACATTGGCCAGGTATGGATACGGCAAGAATATTGTTAGCCCTTAGACAGGGCACACGATCACTGGAAGGCTATATTCAAGAGTATTTAGCGGCAGCAGAGCCGCACGTGGGAAGGATCTGAGAGCAAGCCAGCAGATGAGCTTTAAGCTTCACGATGTATCCTCCGCGTTTGCCTTCGCTTTCTCCGCAGGATGCCGAGGGGCCACCGGCGGATGCAATCCGGGATAACCGCCTGGAACGACTCATTCCTATTGCCAAAGGAGCAGTCCACATCAAAAGTGTAAGAGCTGGTGAATGTGTCCACGACTGAGTTGCGGATGTCCAAGAGTGCTTGACGGTCGTAGATTAAAAGCGTGTAGCAGTTTAAAAACAGAGCAGACAACCAGACAAGCAAACACGAGAGCAACAGACGGCATGCCGAATACACAGGAGCCATCTTGAAACATGGCTCGATCAAAGCAACTATGGTTCCGTCGTTACCAATAGAGTTCAATGGAACTTACGACCATAGTTAGCAAACAATGCTTTTGGGAAACGCACCCCTGATTGTGATTGAAGTTGCGATTTCATAGAAATGAATAAGAAATGTTAGATTGACTGGAGAAGTTCTGAAAAAGTTTTGAAAAAAGATTGAAAGTTTGTGAACCATAAATAGCGTTGGGAATCAAAAATCGATTCAGATGCAGAATCGGATACTTAAGGTCAGGAATCGGACACTCGTTGTCAAATTAAAATTTTATTCCGCCTATCGATTCCTATGTGCTTTTTCTTCTTCTTCATCTGTGAGGACCGGAGCTAGCGATCTGCCAGGACCTTGCTCGCTAATCTAAGTGCTCCAAAGTTTGGCTACATTTGTGATCAGAAGCCAAAAAAGCTAAGTATAATATCTGTGATAGCTAAACATGTTGCAAGAGAGGTGTCACCACCAACATGACAAAGCACTTTAATTTAACAGATCGTTAAAGATCGCGAACACGATTCAAACACCAATGTGATTCTGTTCCTAAATTACAATGATTCGTCTGTTTCATTCCTCAAGCTTTGACGTGTGCGATCAATGTTGTGATCACGTGGTTCTTCCATGCAGCGTACGATCACATCAGTGTGATTTAAACATTTAAATCTGCGTTCACGCTGCGCTGACCTGAAGAGAGCAGCTGTCTGTCATGAATGAAACAGCTTCAGTCTTTTCAGCCACACAGTGTCATTATTTCTGTTACAAACACTCAAATCACAGAAGTACTAGGATAAAAGTTTATATTCAGATATAAACTGTGTGTACGTGTATGGTAGCGATTAAAATAGAGTAAATCACCTTTTGAAAGTAATTTGACGCTTCAAATGAAGATTTATGGATTACAGTGTTACGCCAGTAGGTGGCGAAAAGGGGCTGTTAAAATGTATTTGTCTTTGAATCATACAAGAGATTCGTTCAAGAACGCTGATTCATCCAGTAATGAAACAAGTACATCTTGAGCGAGTCATTCAATCATTCATTCATAAATTACATGTGATTTTGTTTAGTTGTCTAATGTTTTTTCTTCAGAATCATGAGAGTACCACAACTTCCATCGGGGGAAAAACTCAATTTATCCAGAATCATGCAGCTCTATTTTACACACAAACAGCTCTTAAAGAGTCCAGTTCTTATGTAGCCTGTTGATTTTTGTTCATGGTATTCAGCTCCAATAAATGGTTTGCAAAAAAGAGACACAGGATAAATGTTTGATATAATTATTTAATCACATTGGAATCTGTATTGAATTATTATTATTACTGTATTTAATTCTGTATTGTACACATCTAAAATGCTTTGGCAATACTGTAACACAAATGTCATGCCAATAAAGCACCTTGAACTTGAACTTCAATCGAAACTGGGAATCGGAATCGATAAAATTCAAACGATACCCAACCCTAACCATAAACATATCTTGTTAAAAATACTTGTTCATTAAAGGTTAAACAGATACTCCATCCCAAAATGAAAATGGTCATCATTTACTCATCCATGTGTTGTTTGAAAACGGTAGGACTTAAAATAAGCTATCAATGTCTGTAGTTGTGTAAATGCATTAACCCGTTTTCCTTTGCAGTATCGAGGAAAAAACGGATTTTTTTCAGTTCTTGTAAATGTGGTTTTCTCGTAATGCAGGTTGCACTTTGTAATTACACATACTGTAAAATAGGGTACTTGCCTAAGATAGTACTGGCTAATATAATGTAACTTCATGGGTTAGGTTTGGGGGTAAAGAGTAGGTTCAGGGTTAGTACCTTTTTATATTACCCAGTTATTGTAATCAATATAATCAGAACAGTGTGTGCATGTCAGTCAGTGAAACGGGTGATTTCTGGTAGTTATCAGTGTATTGTTTTCTGTCAGTTGGCTCCAGTGTTCCCAGAGTTCTTGAGGATATCTCATGTGTTCTCTAGCCCTTGTCCGGCACGCAGTAACACTGGTGTGCACATGAATGTGTTTCAGGATGGAGATATAATTGCTCCAGAGCTCACCCCACTCAAACGTGACTGGCACACGCTGGAGCGAGACGACGATGACAGCGAGCTCGATGACGACGCTGAAGACAATCATCTCGGACTGAGAGATGAAACGCCCAGGAAGACTGGACGTAATGTGAAAGTCAACCTCTTTCATGCTCCGGGAGAAAGCAGACTCTGAATCACTGGCCCTGTGCTTCTCTCATTGAGAATATTTGGAGCGATCACCAGATGCTCATTCTATCTCAACAGTGCTTTTGAGCTTCGTTTAATCTGTGTTTTGCCGCTGTTTGCTTTTATTTTCAGCTTTAATATCATGTTCATTGCCAGGGTTTTAATGCTACTCGCACCTCTGAAGCTTTATTATACATCAATCCAGAATGAATGTCTCTCTCCGCCATCCATTATGTTTCGATGCAGAGGGAAGTGTTAAATGCATTTTGGCATTCTTTAGTTTTTTTTTTTTTTCCATTTTTTTTAAATTTATTTAAAACTTTTTATCAGGGACTTGCTGTTACTTTTTTCTGTTAATCGGCCCTCCACTCACTCGCAGTGTGTAAAAACTCGTGTTATAATGAGTCTCAAATGTGATGGCATATATCTATATTTGAGCGAACTATATTTTTTAGACTCTGTATTACAGTAATGGGTGATGGTGGTCTGATTTTCTTGGATCGTGTTTCAGATGTTCTCATCAGTACAGACTTTTGCTGTGAACAGATATGCTCAGTTACTCATTTCGGTCTGTATTGAAATATTAAAATTGTCACAGCACAATCACATCAAGTCTGTTGTACAGAAAAAGGTTCACTTAAAGAACATGTTGTGCATGTCGTGCTTAAAGATGTAGTGCTGAATCAATGCAAACTCAATCAACATCTCAAAATTCAGAGCATGCAAATAAAAATCCAGTCATGTCATTCTTTGTTTTAATGTGGTCTGAAGTACAGACCCACTATTATCAACTATTATGTACTTACATTTGAATTAATTAATTGATACAATGCACTTGTGTATATACATGTTTTGGGACATATGCATGGGATTTTATATATATTTGTGTATCTGTAATTAATTTCTGTAGTGGCATCTATAATTACACTGTTGACCCAAACCAGTTCCTAACCATCCTAACGGTGACCGTGATTTCACCAAGTACAACGTGGGGTGCTTCTCAATATCCCTCGTTTCCTCGCTCCTCTGTCCTCCATCCTATGACCCGGAAACCGATCGAGCTCAGCCATCTTGTAGGACATCTCAATTCTCTTCATTTCACCGCGAGGAGTGAGGAGGCTTCCTGAGGAGCTATGAGCGAGGATACACGGGTGAATTCATCGAAAAACCTGATGCACGTATACATTCTCCTCCCCCTTCACATCTGTTGTAATCATTTTAATTTATATTTTACCTTTGCAGTTTAAATAAACCATACATGTCATATATTTCAAACAGGGCATCTTGCTTTATTCATATTTATTATGAATGTCTTAAACTTTAACAACACAAGGGCAGATCCCTTTAGCGCAGCTGATGATGCTTTGAAGTGACGCTAAGGGAGGGTATATCATTTCACTTGATTCAAGTGAATCACTCCTCCGTCCTCCCGTCTTTTCCTTGCATACTTCCCTGGCAACCTGAAGGGGTGGAGCTAAGACGCGAGGAAAGGAAACGAGGATGTACAAATAAGAACTGAGAAGCACCCATGTTCCTGGATCAACATCCTTGTTGATCCTGGAACAACATTCCAATTAACCAATCAGAATTGAGGGATCACTTTTCAGGAAATGTCTGTTTTAGGCTTACGATCAGGGTTAGGTGGTTCTACACCCTTGTTAATCAGCTATAATTTCACACTGTTTTTAGGAATAAATTATGGGTAGGGTTAGGTTTGGGGCAGGGATTGGGTTAAGTCTATATTTTTGGACAGTTATGTTGATCCAGGAACATGTCTTACTTGGCAAAATCATGGCGACCCCTTCCTAACCCTACCTCAAAAGCAGCAAAAGTGATTTGCAGTATAACATAGAAACAATAAGTACCCTTTTGTTTTTTCTTTTTTGATGTCAGTACATAGTAGTTAAATACACCTAATATAGCAGCTGAATCTCTGTACTGTCACAGCAGCGCTCATACTACAACAACAACACACCACAAAACACAACACCACACAACAACAACACACCACACAAAAACAACACCACCACTCAACACAACAACAACACACAACAACAACAACACACCACAAAACACAACACCACCACTCAACACAACAACACCACCACACAACAACAACACACCACAAAACACAACACCACCACTCAACACAACAACACCACGTCCCGTATTTAAGGCATATGCCGTATGAACACCTAGACCATACGAATAACAAACTGAATTAATCATTCTTTTTTGACAAGTGTTTGATTTGTGAACATAGCCGTTCCAGGGAGGCTTTAAGACCAAGTGGAATCCTCTTCACAGCGAGCGGGACTCACGCTAACGGAGTTGGGTTTTTTAACGACTGCGTTTTGACTTCAGCAAATCAGATTGAGTGAATGCAAACAACGTGATTCCAACATCCAGCCACACAAGAAAATGTGCATTTTACCTGAAGACGTGATCAATAAGGAAAGTCGTATTTCTCTAATGTATACACCTAGATAAAACAATTTACATTTAAGTAACTTCCAGCGGATTCTTAACCTTGAATATCATTCTTAAAGGGTTAGTTCACCCAAAAATAAAAATAAGGCTGTGTTTTACTCACCCCCAATGCATCCTAGGTGTATATGACTTTCTTCTTTCAGACGAATCCAGTCGGAGTTATATTAAAAATTGTCTTTGATCTTTCAAGCTCTATCGTTGTACTCAGCGGGTGTTGCATTCCTTCTGTCCAAAAGACGTGAAATAAAAAGCACCCTTCCACAAAAAAAAGTGTCTCACACGGCTCCGGGGGGTGAACAAAGGCCTCCTGTAGCGAATCGATGCGTTTTTATAAGAAAAATATCCATATTCAAAACGTAATAATCACTTGATTGAGCTTGCGCTCACTGTTGTAAAACGGAAGCAGTTCCGGTGGAGTGACGTATGAGGTCAGCTTTGCCCATGCGCCGCTCAGAAGTGACGCACGCGGAGAGATCGAAACAAAACAACGGTCACTAATTAGAAGTACAAAACGAGGATT